CTTTTCCTTCAAAAAAAAAAAAAAAAAAAAACATGAAAAAAAATATGAACAAGAACATGAACAAAAACATGAACATTGGTGTCAAAAAATATATGAACATGCTTACTTGGAAATGAAATGGTGCAAATTGATTTGGAGTTGATGAACTTCTCAATGCCAATAAACTGCTGCTATCTTCACCCAATTGATAGCTTCCACTGAAATTCATTTCATTTAAAACATTTCAAAAACTAAAAAATTATGAACAACAAGAACACATTAAAAAAAAAAGAAAAAAAAAATTAATGGAACCTCAAATTTGAATCCAAAAACATTGCAGAGCGATTCATTTCGGATGAAGACGACGACGACGATGACGACGAACAACCCTTTTTCCTTGCAATATTGAACAGATTTGGATCCCAATGGGCTTCATCAAGAAAGGGTCTCGTCCTTTTCCCACTTACAATCTGTCAAGATTATGAATTTTTAATATTATTATTCAATTTTGCATGCATATATATATATGAACGGAGAAGAAATTGCCTGTTCTTGTTCCTCCGGCGTCGTCCATGGGTGGTTTAAATCAGGAGATTTTTGGCTTGAAGGTTGCTCTATTTGATTAAAGCAATTGGGCGGCGGTGGCGTTGCCGGCGGACACGATGAGGATGAGGCGGAGGCAGGAGTGAAATTTTCCTGAAAATTTTTAATATATTTACACTAATTTTTTGAAGAAAAAATTAAAAGGGTTTGGAGTTTAATATTGTCTTACCATTGGGTTGTTGTAAAATTGGCGATTGAGTGAGGGAGGTGAGAATTGGAAATTGGGTACAAACTGCGGCGGAATATTAATTTGGGTGTCGGATTTTGGTGGCGGAGGGCGGGGACGGAGAGTAGTGAACGGCGAGATATTTGGGCGAGAAGGGAACTCACGGGGTGGTAGGAATGGAATTGGGGTTAGAGGTAGCGGTGGTGATGGAGATAGGAATTGATGTGACGGCGGGGGAGGTGGCGGCGGTGGCGGCGGGGACATGGGTGGGAATTGGGTGTTGGAGTCTTGGGCTTGTTGCTCCTTGAGAATCTTCTCGAGCTCCGCCACGCCTGGTCCTCTCCGGGGAGTACGCTGTCGTTTGGCCGGAGTTTTCTTCATCTCAGGGGGGTTTGTATGTTTTGGTGGTCGGGAACTTAGTGGTGTATGGGGTTTATATAATGAAAGGTTTAAAGGGAAGGGGAATTAGGAGGCGGAGGAGGGGGCGGAGGAGGAGGAGGGGGAAGAGGAGGCATCAGTTTCTTGGCGAGTGAGGGGGTTCGAATCTGAGAAAATCTTTGCCATTTTTATTATGGACAGCTTTTTGTACTGTTTCAATGCCTGTTTTCTGCATGGAATAGTCAAGGAATAGGTCTCTTGGTCCCCTTTTGCCATATAAATATGTTCATCTATTACCTGCCCATTACACTATTTTCATTGCTCTTCCTTGTATATTTCCACAAATATGGTCTTTTTTGGGCTTACTTCTGTTCTGAGATCTCACAATTCATTGGGTCCAGCTTCCGTTCCCTTCTCCGATCTATGTGGGACCCACCAATCCATCCCTATCTGATATGTCACAATTCACCCCCTTCAAAGCCCAGCATTCTCACTGACATTCGCTCCCTTCTCCCATGTATGTGGGACCCACCGATCCATCCCTAACTGATGTGTCACCCTCGAGGCCCAGCATCTTCACTGACATTCATTCTCTTCTCTAATTTATGTGGGACCCACCAATCCATATGTTGTGTCACAATTCACTCCCTTCATACCGAGCGTACTCACTGACATTTGTTTCCTTCTCCAATCGGTGGGATTCACCAATCCATCCCTAACTAATGTGTCAAAATTCACTCCTTTAAGGCCAGTGTCCTCACTAACATTCGTTCCCTTCTCCAATCTATGTGGGACCCACCAATGAGATCTCACAATTCACTTCTTTGACCCAACTTACATTGGTTTCCTTCTCCAATCAATATGGGACCCACTAATCCATTGATCTCACAATTCACCTCTTCAAGGTCTAGCTTCCTCGCTCTGTTCGTTCCCTTCTCCAATTTATGTAGGACCCACCAATCCATCCCTAACTGATGTGTCACAATTCACCCCTTTATGGCCCAACATCCTCACTCACTCACATTGGTTCCTTCTCCAATCTATATGGGACCCACTAATCCATCCCCAAGTGAGATCTCACAATTCACCCATTCAGGGCCTAGCGTCCTCATTGACATTTGTTCATTTCTTCAATCTATGTGGGACCCACCAATCCATCTCTTTTAGGGCTAGCATCCATGTTGGCACACCACCTCATGTCCACCCCCTTCAAGGCTTAGCTAACAAATATTGTCATTTTTTGAGTTTTCCCTTTTAAACTCCCTCTCAAGATTTTTAAAACACGGCTACTAAGAAAATATTTCAATGCAACGTTTCATCGTGGGATCTCACAATAGTTCAATAGGTTAAAATGATCGAAATTCTATTCAATGTGACAATTTTTTTTTTAAACATAAAAAGTCGACATGTCCATTTAACTCGAGCACCTAAGCCCTGAATGGAGCAAGGAATCCCATCTTTAGATGGAGGAGGGAGTTGGGAAATATTTTTGCTCTTAGCTCAATGGAGCTAGGGATGTGGATAATATTCATCGTCCCTACCTACCCCAACTATACCCTAAATTTTTTATAAATTATGTTCAATATTATATTATCCATTAATTTTTTAAAATAAATATATTTCTAAAAAGATATAGAAATTTCTCGAATTTTGCAAGAATGAAAATTGAAATAAGAGGCGGATATTCTCTATCCTCACATTCCGGCATGGATAGAACTGATATTTTAAATTAATTATTATATTTTAACTCATAATTTTTGCAATAAAATATTAAATTTAAAAAATAAAAAATGTTTTTATATATGGAAGTATTTTGTTTTTTTGAGAAAAAGTGAAAGGAAGTTATGAGCAGGTAGCTTGGCCAGCTCAAAAATTAAGAGAGTCAGTAATGGTTGTTTCATATATAGACAAATAAAATATTCTTAACATAAATTCATATTATTACAAATTAAATTAATTTTATAAAAATAATAATTAAAATATAGTTATCCTTTAATTTATAATTTAATTAATTAAAAAAGAATAACAAACAAAAAAACATTCTTAAATAACAAACAAAAAAATACATATTTTTAACACATTTTGTCTGTGTTCCATCCACAATTTGACAAATAAAACAATTCATATAAATAATATTTTTTTAGTACCAATAATAATAATAATAACCAAAATCTAAAAAAAATCAATTTAGTCTCAAAATTTCTACCATTTTTTATTAAAAAAATTATAATTTGACGGTGGAATAGATTCAAGCATCTGGTCTAGTAAATCTCGAGCAAATACACAAGACTTTGTTGCTTTGGCAACGGGTTTTAATCCAAATGTTGATCTGACATACTTATTGATTATAGTCGTCCTCACGTTCAAAATTTCATTGTCGAGTGCATCCCGAGAACTTTCTTGATTGGATAGAACGTGACGAGAGAGTCAAAAATGAAATTCCTGAGTTGGGGGAGTTGTGGGAGGTATGGATTGGTTTCAGGTTGGAATATTGTTGTTATAGTGGTGTCTTTAGGGTTGGTAACTCTCGACCCCTAAGAAGAGCTAAACATGGTGTTCTAATTAGTATCTTAATCCTAGTAAATTCAGGCAATATACTACTGACAAACAGCTCAATCTACCCTTGTTCTGGTTCTATATCAAATAAGATCTCTTATCATTATAACGAAGAGTCATTAACTATTTGTATATTTGATGTGCTCATGTCAGATACAGCGAGATCTCACGTTGGTTCTTATAAGGGTATGGAAATCTCTCCTTAACAAATGGGTTTTGAAATTGTGAGACTGATGACGATACATAACGGACCAAAACGAACAATATGTACTAGTGGTCGGTATATACTAGTGGGGGACGAGTAAGGCATGTTGATGCAAGTGCAAGGAAGCAAACTCCATAAGGCAACCAATCTACAAGTTGAAATCCTTCCAAAGAAGAAAGAGATTGGAAGAAATTCAAAGCTTCATACCCTTTCTCTAACACCAAATCTTTCTATAAAAATCAATGTCAGATTCTTTAGGTGTGAGTAGGTGGGGCTTACCAATTAGCAACAAAATGCCTTCACATGGCCTTCCCACAACTCATGCAATCTTATCTAATCATCAACGCAATCACAAACTCAACCAAAACCAAAGCTATCTTCTTTTTTTTTTTTTTTATTGACCCGATTCAAACCTTCGTCTCGAAAGTTTTAAGATTGTGTTTTTTGGACGTTTATAAAGACGGGTTATGTGGCAACGAGAATGTAACAGTTCAAGTCCACTGCTAATGGATATGGTCTGCTTTGATCCGTTACGTATTGTCGTTAGTCTCATGATTTTAAAACGTGTTTACTAGGGAGAGGATTCTACACTCTTATTAGGAATGTTCGCCCCTCTCCAACTGATGTGGGATCTCACAATCCACCCCTTGGAGGCCCAACGAGCATCTACTAGGGAGAGGTTTCCACACCCTTTTAAAAAATGATTCGCTCCTCCAACCGATGTGGGATCTTACAATCCACCCACCTTGGAGGCCTAGCGTCCTTGCTGGCCAACCGATTCTATACCCTTATAAGAAATTTGCCTCTCTCTGATCGATAAGAAACGTTCTTGCTGACACACCAACCAATGCCTTGCTCTGGTACTATATGTAATAGCCCATGTCAACCGGTAGTAGATATTGTCTGTTTTGGCCCGTTACATATCGTCGTCAATCTCACAGTTTTTAAATGCGTCTACTAAGGAGAGGTTTCTACACCCTTATAAAAAATGCCTCATTTCCCTCTCCAACCGATATGGGATCTCACAAAGGATATCTTTTTTAGTCCACCAACGGCAAGACCTCCAACAGAGTCCTATCCCGTTAAAGGAGAGAATCCAACTTACTAGTTAACAAGTGAGGAAAAATAGGAGTCTAAGATATAAAGGTTTACCAGGTTAGCTCTCAAATCCCACCTGAGAGGAAATCTTTCCCATTTTAAAATCTTAACGGGAAGCCCATAAAAAAAATCTAAAGAAGACAATATCCAATAACTGTCAGTTTGAGCGGCTACAAATGTTAGATTCGTGTGAAAATTTGTCCTTAGTAGACACGTTTTAAAACCTGTAGGCTTAGGCTGCTACATTAGCGTTTTACTATTTGTTAAAGCTTAGACACTAAAATTAAAATTAAATTTTTTTAATGATATGATACAATTTCAATAAAGACATTACTGCAAATTAAAAGATTTTATTAGATTTAGAGATTTAATAAACTGATTTGTGACAAATTTGATTATACTCGATAAATTGAATAACTCGACCAACCTAGCCTAAGACGTACAATTTGGGTTGGGTTATCAATTTATTTACGTTAGGTTGGGTTCAAGTAAATAAAAACCTACGGGTTGGGCTGATCCAATGTTTTATAGTTGAGTGAGTGAATATCTGACTCGACCAATTTAGTAGGATATAAAAGATATCTGACTCGACCCAGTGAATACCCTTCATTAGTCAACTCATTTAAATTATGGAGCTCGAGAAAAAATATATTCAATAATAGCTTTAAATTTGTGATTTTTTTTACTAGGAATTTGTCTCTTTTTTTTAGAAATTGATTTTTAAATAGGAAAAATTAATATATTTAGAATTAACAAAATATAGGCATGCCTTTTTAATTCAATTAAAAACTTCATTATTAGTCATTAGTCTTATAAAAGAAATTATATTGGAAAATTATTTTCTTATTATTTTCTACCTATTTTTTCCCTGTTGTTCACAGCAATTGGTATAATAATATCTAAATATGGAAATATATTCCATTATTTGCTATTACTCAAAAACTTTATTTTTTTAAAAATTATATATAAATAAAAAACTTTAGAAAGTGACTTGTAATTTTTATTTTATAGCACATTTTTTTCTTCAATAAATGTTTGTTTTTATTTTCATCAAATTAATAAACTTTCTGAAAATTTTTATATTATTTTTGGGTTAATTAAAATAATTTAAAATAAAAATTTACTAATTATTCCTCTTATTAAATAATGGTAATAATGAACCCAGTTAAGGCAACTCAACCATAAATTTTACTACTTAGGACATGATTCTATTACGGAATGTGAGACTCTCTCCTGATGATCCTCAACAAATTCGTCCAAATAAATGTATAACCCAATATGACTATAACTACCCAGATCCACCCAGATATTGTCCGCTTTCCCTGTTGGGGTTCCCTCTCAAGGCTTTAAAATGCGTCTGTGTCTGTCCGCTAGATGAAGGTT